TCAATATATTCACACAATTGGCGATAATGAAAAACAGAACCCAATATAATATTTGTTACTATGTTAGCGCTATGATAAGTCAAATTTTGTTTATTAAATTTGATCACTTTACTATAGACTCTAATAACATATAATAAATAAGTAGTTAACTAACTTAATAATAACCTAAAATAATATGTTGGGCGATGACATGAATATTGAATCATTTTTTATATTCTAGATGTATTTTATAAAAAAAATTATTATTATTTTCTTACAATACTAAAAATGATTCACAAAATTAACTAATAATTTGAGCAATATATTTAACATTTGTCTTGGGTACCGATTTTTTAAATCGCAAAAAGTAAGTGACTTTATTTTTAAATATTTGCTAGAAGTAATAAATATTAAATACATGTAGTGTGTGTACTAAAAGGTTTATGTTATATTAAAAAATTAATAGAATGCAGATCAGTAATTCTTTTATTTTTAAGTAACTCAACTTAAATTCACTTAAAAAGTAATTATATTCTATTATAAATTGGTTGCAAAAAAATTTAAAAGCGCCCATTACAATACCTACACGAAATTGAATAAAAAATTATTTTGTCTTTGTCTATATATATAATAATATCGAATAACTATATCTAAAAAAGTATATCTAAAAAACATTTTTAAAATTTTTGATTTTTTTTCCATGCTAATTCCATATCAAACTTTGATTCAATTTCGCAATATCTAAAAGATAAAATTAAAGCTAAAATTTTTAGAGATTTTTTTTTATCAATTTGAGCCCCTGGAAGGAAGGAAATTTGAAATGTTCATAATAAGGACCACCCTAATGTATATTTATATTTTCATTTGGTGTTACATATGTATTAACAAAGTCTCATAACTCAAAAGGCAAAAGCTCAGAAATCAAAGGGCATAAATCAATAAAAAAACAAATTTTTCTTAAAAACTTATTTTACAATCAGGACAAGATATACATATATGTGTACTAAGTTATAGATAACACATATATTGCACATTTATTATTTGTGATATTTTTATTGTTAGTATTCTGTAAGATATTATATTAGTTACAATCAATTATACTTGTTTATCTATGGTTACAATATTAATGTCTATATTTCTTATTGTTCTTATATCCTAATACCATGGATTGATGAATTTTCTGTTTTTAACTCTTATATTAACACATTTTTCTACTGAATGCAGGCTAGGATTATCGCCAAAACGTATGGATTGTAAAAATTTTATTTTTTTTAATTATGGTTTTTTATTGATGGTATGCGCGATTATTATGATTTTAATACTCGAAATAATATATTGACAAAAAAAAATTAATACCCCCTATATGTTATATAATAAAATTTTAATTTTTACCCGCTATTGGCGAACGTTGTATTACTTTCAAAATTGCAAGCGTCACTATATTTTATTCTAAACGTATAACTTTCCAACGCTTTTCCAATGTCTTCTTGTCCGGGCGGTTGTACAGCCACAATGATATCTCGCAACTACAATAGATTATAAAAACAAATTATATTTTGCGACATATACACATTATACATATACAATATATATTACATATCCTTTTTTCATTGCATCAAAGCATCCTTTAACCCACTTAAGAAATCTCGTTATTTTGGGGTCTGATTTGACATTTTGCAACATATGCATCGACAAGATTCCAATTTTACGAGGGCGAAAATATTCCTTTGAATAAATCTTTCGCAGATAACATATAGCACTAATTGAAACTGCAAATAACTGTCTAGTTAAGGTCATAGAATTAGTTTCCGATTTGAAAGCTAGTTCAGGCTTCACGAGTATATTTGTGGTATTCTGTGAAAAAAACGAAAAGTATTTGAAACATTTGTAGAATTAGCTTTATGAATGCACAATAAAATAAAAACTTTACTAGACAATCTACTTCCGTTTGGGATCCTTTTAATAACGTTTTAGTACTCATTTTTAAAGTTTGTTAATAACTTTGAAACACACTTCGAAACAACTGTACGCAAAATGGCGATTACGTTGTACATCTCTCGGCGCACCAGAAAATCTAAGCAGTGCAACCAACGAACTAAATGAATAATATAAAATTGACATGTATGTTCTTTTACTAACTTCTCGAATGATAAAAATTCAAACGCGGTTTTAGTTTTTTTATTGACAAGTCGCGATTAGGTAACTACACAATTAATTTTTGTCGTTTTTAATAAGAAAGTTCGATTGATTTTGTAAATTATAATTTTTTAATTGATTCGATCTTTTTCCTTGTCATTGGATTGTATTAATTAACTTATTGTAAAAATATAAATTGTTCGTTCTAATTCATTTACTAATTTAACAGATTTGAACTATGTATCTCCATAAAAAATAATTATCTGCAACTGTTATTTTGTAAAAAATGATGCGTGTGATTACATTTATTTCTTTTCATTATGTTATCAGAAAGTAATATACTATAGGTAATTATCAAAATTTAAATATTTGTGCTAATTGTAAAGAAGTTAAAATATAAATCAAACGTTAATTTAGTAGACATATAAAATAACTAGTGGTATAATCGAAGATACTACTTTCAAGTGTTTTTGAAAATATTATGAACTAGCTGTAAGTGGAATTCTGTCTTAAGGCAATTAAGGCATTGTGCCTTAAGGTAAATTGCTGGAACTTCTCGTACCAAAAATTATTTTTTATAAATATATACGTTCATATAGTAGCACATAAAATTAAACTATTTAAACGAGCGAAACATGTGTCGCTCGCAAACCAGTTTCGAGGAAATGTTATGCTTTTTATATGGTGGTCTGCCTTGCAAAACTCTATCAAATCGATATACAATATTATTTAAATTTAACATTTAAATAAATTTTACTGGTTAATATATTTCAGGTTTTGTTTTCTATACAACTTTTCATTATCTTTTATATAAGATTGTGTAATTTAAGATTTTGGGTACATGATTTGTCGCCTCCTCAAAAATTGCATTTCGCTTAAAATCATAATTGTTACTTTCATAAAACACGAACATTATGGATTAAAAAATTGCATGTAATGAAGTTTTGAAACGAAAATCGCGCTCCTGATAAAAACATTTGCAAGTTTTTGTTATTTAATTATAGTTCTATATTGCTGTAATTTTTGCTGTGATATATTTATAATTGAAGTATTTATTTCAGGAGTGTACTAATTAATTATTGTTATTCTGCAAGATATGATGTTCCACAATTTATTATTGTTCCAATTAATTCTTTTTCGAAGTATAACTCATATTTATTTTTACACTAACATGCTTTGTTACAAAGAAACACTCTCTTGATATGTTTTTGTTTGCGTTTTGTGCGTTAATTACTTGTGTGTTTTGTGAAGAAGAGTCAAATTGGAACTCGAATTAATACTAAGTTTGTCTAAGAAAATAAAAGTCGATTCCGCATATCGTCTTTGTGAGACTTTCGACTCATGATAAAGAACCTTTGCGTCATAAAAATTGAACGTATGGTTGTTTAGTTTTAAATGTTCTGTGATCATCGTTTATCGTGTTGTTTTGAACGTTTAATAATGTTCTGTTGTTTCGCCAATATAGCATATATATATAGCGATCTCTAATCTCTCTAATCTCGACAACATAATTATATTTGGAATTCCTGCGATTTGCTCTACCAATATTCGTAAATTTGGATAAAGAAATGGAGACAGAAAAGTCAAAGTTGTACGTTTTAAATAATCAGATATTCACAGCATATGCGATAATTTTGGAATGTTTCATTCAACCGATATATTTGGAACTTTCAAACAAAGAGTTGAATACGATAGAAAATATTTCGAATGCCAAACAGCAAAAGGTATTAAGCGTAGATGTAAACGATTTGCAAATGCATTTACCTTTATTAGAAATACATGCTAGAGGAATGATTCCAAATATAATTCGGTTGAAAAGAGAAACTGAAAGATTAGACTAGGATGAGTTTAATATTGAGGCAGAAAACCAAATAAAGCAGAGGTTTCCATTTCATGATAAAAAACGACAATAACTATAATATTTGCAGTAATTTTGAGTACTGATTTGAGAAAAAAATCACATCAATTTCTAAACTGTTATATTTTTTTCCAAACATTTGCCCAGATAATATAACAGAACTAGATAGAAAGCGGAAAACTCTTAGAAACACCAATGTCGATTCAAAGAGATTGAGACGACGCCCAGTACAGAGGAATTTTAAAGGCACGTATCAAAATTAGAAAAGGCGATGGTTTCTGCGATGTTTCCATAATTATCGATTTTAATAAGAAAACTCCTGTGTTTGGCGCACAGTACTGCGACGGTGACTTATAAATATTTGACAATGTTACAGTATTTATTGAAATGAATTTGAAAACATTTAATATTTCGTTACGGTACGAGAAGTTCCGGCAATTTTCCTTAAGGCACGATGCCATACACCTATAGTTAAAGTATTTAATTATCAAAAGAACAATTAAAATGGTGTTTTAAAACATTAAAATAAACATTATGCAAATATAATATACCTATAATTTTTTTAATAAAACGTGTTGACACTTTATCGCGACTTCAGTCAGTTCTTGAGCTGTTTAAAAACTCAAATTACCAACATAATAGTTTATGACAAATCAAACGCAAGTCATACTACTTTAGTATTTAATATTTCAATATAACAATATGATGATTTAATAATTATGAATTACATTCATTCTTTAATAATTATGTAAATATTAATTTTTTTTTCTTTTCAGAAAATCTGTTGACAGTTCATGAACCAAAAGTTTAATTATTTATTTAAATTATTGAAATTTCTAGCATGAAAAATATTGACTGGAAGATATAAATATTTACAAGATGTCCAAAATGTTTAATTCATACTGATATACATTCTATATAATTTTACATTCAAATTACCACATTGATATATTAATTTGTATGTATTGTTGATATGTATTTGAGTGTCTGTTGTTTTCCAACTAGAAATATTTGTCAACAACAAAGACAATACTATTACATTTTAGGCATTACATGATGTGTTGCCTGTTGAATAATAAAAAGTAGTTAAATGTATTTTATTGCATGAGTAAATAGTAATTAATTACCCTCCAAATTTTTCTTAATACTTGCAATTGTAAATACAAATTGTTAATATCGGTTTTAAATATCGTGGAGTGACTACGAGATCGATTTTATTCAGATTCACTTTTTATTTTTATAATATCCATGCTGCATCTCATGTCTCCATTTCCATCATAAGACTTCACAAATTTAGCAATATATGTTAAACGAATAAATAATTTGTGGAAGATTGGAAATAACTTCTAGACAATTTCAAAAATATGTAGCCATTTGTAGATATTTTTTTTTAATTTTTGTACATTTTTAACCCTTGCCAGTAGGCGACATATACATTTATTTATGTATATCTAGACATTTTTGTACATATTAAATTTTTTAAGTTACATTTAAACATCACTAGAAATTAAAAATTAATACATTGGCAAAAGAGTTGAAAAAATATTTTAAAATTACCATTTGATTTACTGATTTTTTATATATCTATTGAGGCTTGTCCATAACTACAGAGTTGGCAGGGTTACTTCAACAAGCGGCTTCAGAAATGAATCGGTACTCGAAGCTAATTCAGGCCGAAGAAGCGAAGGAGACGAGGCGTGATCTGAGTCGCTTAAAATCCCTTCACTCAGAAAGGAATAAATTAAATGAAAAGTATAGGGAACTAGAATTGTGTATCAAGTCCCTATACAGGAATATAATTTATAAACGCATGAAGTAAGATATTTTGACATTTCTGGGCCAATTGTCGGATAACACAGCTAAGTTTTGTTTGCAGACTCTTGCTTTAACATATCATGTCTTAAATAAGCATATGTTCAGGATTATGTATTCTTGGACCACGTCGTGTAGGAGGCACTCTTTTCGATTGAATTGAATAGGTCCTATTCAGTTTCCTTTTCTTTTCATGATCGTTCTCAGTGAAGTCTTTTATGGACTTATTCTTTTGTTATCTTGTCAGTCCACTTTTTTTTCTCCATTCACCTGTCTCCTGCGCACCACATTTTAAAACTCTCCAAATAGTTCTTTTTCTTAGAGTCCATGTCCCTGATCCGTAAAGAGCTATGCTCTAGACATAACATTTTTTTATCAATATCATCCACAAGTCGAGACTTGGTTGGTTCTCAGTAGTGTTCTCAACTTCGCAAACTCCACCTTGGCGCTTGCGATCTTTGTCCTGACGTTTTTCGTGCTGTATTCGTTTCTGGTCAGAATGCTTCCTAAATATTTGAAATGATCAACGTCTTCCAATTTTTGATTTTTTACTGTTATCTTCAGAGTATCATCTCGTTTTGATACTCTCATCACTTCCAATTTGCTGATGCTGATTTCCGTCCCATATCTTCTACCCATTTTGACGATTCTGTCCATCATGTTTTGCAGCTCGGTTTGGTTTTTTGATATTACCACTAGATCAATCATTTTGCCATATAAAACAAAATATGTCACCAGGAATAGCTGTTACACCTACCATAATTCCTTGAACCGCATAAGTTAAAAAATATTTTTTAAACATCAGTTTATTTACAGAGATATCGCACCTGTCACCAGAAGGGTGAGCATACGTGAATTGGGCCGCTTGATAAGAAAACACCCGGGACTATTCAAGTCTATGACAAGGTATATATATATATATATATATATATATATATATATATATATATATATATATACTAGCTGACCCGACAGACGTTGTTCTGTACTCATGTCTACAATTTTTCAATTTTTTATACTAATATTTACTGCTTAGTTAAAAATAATAATTACTGTTTTTTGAATTACTATTTACACCAATATATGAGTGATGTTGAATGCAGAACTATTTCAAATAAAATGATTGTTCTCAATTCCCACAGTTAACACTTTAATTATTCATTTAAAAAATATTAAAAAATGTTCAATAAAATTGTATATTAAAAATTATACACTGCGATTTATAGAACAAATTTATTTCCAATAGCTCAATTTATTTTATTGCATTTAAGGGTTATATAGTATTTTTAGTCATACCTGTAAATGTGGATGTATAAATGAATGATTTTTTGTTTATTCACGACTAAAACATTGATTTTCCAAATTTATCACACTAAAAATAATCGTCTGCCTTTGTGATTTATGGTTATAGCATAAGATACACGTGTTGAAAATTGAAATCTTTTAAAAAGTACAACAAATTCAGAAAGAATTAATATATAGCATTCGCGGCAAAGGTGCAATATCACCTTTTATTTTTCTACCCAAAATATATGCTTCAATAATGTTGCCTATAATTTTTATAATTTCGTACCATATTTTAACTGGCTTTTAGTAATTTTAATATCTAAATTACATTTTTTTCTCCAATAAATCAATATACATTATTGCTTAAGTTTATATTTGAAGTGAATTAATTTGTCAAATCCTGTTCACATGTGCTCTATTCAACTTACAATCAACAAAATTATTGCTCTGTGAATTTTTTTACTGTGCTCCAATTTACTTGATATTTTGGAAATAGGCTAATCTTTATCTTAATTTCAATGTTTTTAACAATTTGCACTCCGTCACCATCCACAGCATTAATTGAATTATTACTCTTTTAATTCTGATTTTATCAGAACTTGTAATACACTATTTTAAAGGTGATTAAATGAGCTACAACTTTCTCTATTATTAATTTTACCGTAACTTCTCTTATTGTAAAACGGCGAAGGGTTAAAGGGCTCGAAAGACCTCTGGTTGGACAGCTCCTTAATTAATCATACATCTATCAATATTTGTGTAACGAAAAAATAATAAACAATAATAATTAGTCAGAAAAATACCTCGAATTTTCATATATATATACTTTTATACGTATTCTTTCAGAGGTATTATGATGAGAAATTGGTTGTTTTTTTTTCATGAAATCATTAGTTTTTTGAGAATCATTTGTACTAAAGTTGTGGTATTTTCTAGAATCCATCAAGATCTCTTAAACCAAGTTAATTCTAGATTGAATACGATTATTTATCCATCACGCTTGCGTGCTGACTCATAGCTGTCTAAAAGTATTAAAAGATGTACATTGAATTAAAGCAGATGATTGATTTTACTCTTACAGTTGGTAATTTTTTTTTTTAGTAAATAATATTCTCACCATAAAACCCAACTAATTCCATAGATACTTGATTCTATGTATCTTGTGGCTCTACACGTTTCTACACATTAGACCCGTACGGTTTTTTCTGAAAGGCCACCAGCACTTGCTGAACCATCATTGTTGATAATCAACCAATTACTCAGAATCTCCGGGTAGAAGGTGGATTTGTCAACAATGACAGCAAATGGTTTTGTTCTAAAAATTAAAAAGTGAAAGCATACGTATCTAATATAATATATTCTTGAAACACAAAATTAATTTACCCCAGCTGACGATTCATAGTATTAAATTAAACTCGCAATGACTGCACACGATAAATAAATCTAACTAAGGTAAACGTACACGTAATGTACTATTCCGGGATAGTACATTATTACGGGAGTTTTTCATTTTGATCGCAAAATAAGAAAACAGTCGGTGAATAATAATTTTAAACAATACCACATAAACTATAATTCGAATCTCATCAAATGAGCAGATTTTCCATTTTAAATATTAGTTTTTAAAACCATATAGAGCTTCTGAACGCATCTGTCATAACCCGATCGCCATTTACGTACAGTCCTGTTCCTAGACAATATTAGAATACCCCGTGTTCATATAGACGCTTCTCTCGCCCGATTTTTACGTTCAGAAGGAATACTTAAAGGGTCCTCCGCTCGAGGTGATGGCGCTGCTTTTGGCATTCAAATTAATGGCGCAAAATTTGAAATGAAAATTAATGAATTTTAGTGCACGGATATTTGAAACTAAATTTTGTATTGCAATCCTATTATGTTTTGTAGTAATACAATAATAACAAAAATATACTAGATAATATTATATTATAATAAATATACAATCAAATCGAAATATAAATCAACAAATACACTGCAATACACCGGTTTATATATAATAGATATCACATCTAATCTACTGGAATAACTTCTACACTTTTTTCTACTTATTAATATAAATATTTATTGAAATTTAGTGAATAATGCATTATAGTGTTATTTCATTACATCGTCTGTCATTCTTAACTCTCATTAACTAATGATCATCCCGTGTAAAATTTGACATTCTTCAGCAATTAATTTTCTCCCAAGTATATTCAGATCCGTGTGAAGCGGTAGTCCAATTTTAAACAGCTGGAACAGCTTTTTATTTGTGTATTATGTCTTTCTTGTAGAAGCGCATACTTGATTTCTTACACAATTTCCTAGAACTGACCTCTTTCAGAGTGTATTATGAATTAGACCAATATGTCAATGCACTACGTAGTAATGTAGTAATTATGTCCTCCATATTTGTTTGAAGCTGTTCTGTTCATATTGTCAAAGGGCTATGCATTTGAGAGCAATTCCTGATGAAATCTTTATTAACAAATATACAAACACGAACGAACAAGAATCGCCATTTTGTAAACTTAAACAAAAGTAACACTGACGTTTCTTAGTAACCGACCTAAAATATTTAAAAATACTTTTTCATCGGCTCACTAGCGCCAAATCTGCGACTACAAATGGACCCCTAAGTATTCCTTCTGAACGAGGATTTTGTTCTAAGTGAAAAGGCCCTGGTCCTGTTGTTAGTTAGGTTAATGTGACGCTACAATTGCTTAAGATTTTTATGTGACACTGGTAAGCTTATTCAATATAAATTTGTGATATTATTGTTAAGAAATAATAAGTGATAAGTTTTATAGTTAAATCGAGCAAATATGTTTTAAGAAAGTGTCAATTTTGTGACTCCCGTAATTAAGTTCACACAATTGAGGCCATGGGGAGTTATCTTCGAACAAATGCGCGTTGCACTGTTTTGGTCCTGAGTAGTTTCAATTTTTAAAAACAGATGGCTCATGTGCACTCAATTTCAACTACAAATTGTTCGTGGTTCATGCAAGTGGCTGTCAAGTATTTGATCGCTGTATGGCTATACGAATAACCTAACTTTTTGAACTCGTGTTGTTTCTAATTAATTAATTTTGTTTAAGTGAACTTTTGTGAAATTTAATATTGCAAAGTGTTTTTATAGTACCCAAAAAAGTGTCAAGTGCGGGTTAAAATATTTAGCTATTCCAATACAAGTTTCCGCAAAGGTATTTTTTAATAATAATTGCAGCAATAATTATATATAATCAAGATATGTCAACATGTTATTATATTGAATAGGTGTTTTGGGGGTACCGCAAATTGCTGCAAAATGCACAAACAAAGCGCAGGAGTACTTTTGACAACCAAGGAATGCAATATGTAATGACAAGAAGGATTCATAAACAATGCAATAATTTAAGTAATAAGTCGTACAAAAAGTCTCCACAGGTCTACTATTTTTGGAGACAAATATTTATTTTGCCATGTCCTCAAACATTGAGAAAGTTGCATTCAGAGATACAAGTGTATAGCGGTATTTATGAGTGTCTATTTAAAACATTAGGTTCAGCTATTTCTTTTAAAAAGTATTAGTAGCAGATACTGTGTTTTGATGTTTGATGAAATACCATTATCTTCGGAATTGTTATATGATTGGATTGAATCTCATATTGTTGAAGTTGCAAAACAGTTATTCAGCTAGTATGGTTTAAATGTTCATCAACGTAAGTTCATTGTTACATTTAATAAGATTATCTATTACATTAGCAAATGTAAACACTTATAAAGTAAACTAGTATTGGTTTAAATGTTCATCAACGTAAGTTCATTGATATATTAAATAAGATTATCTATTACATTAGCAAATGTAAACACTTATAAAGAGAGTCTATACCATACATAATATTTTAATGTATTTTGATTGAAGATTAGTGTTATAATATTCTTCAAATAAAACTTGCGTAACATCCCAATGTAATGTTTAAATTCAGGATATATTTGTTACCGACCTTGGGAATCAAAAATATTGCTTTTATCTTTTGATTCATAAACAATTGTATGTGCATAAAACATTATTCTGTTCATTGTAAACACTTTGTTGATCTTTTATGGCAATTTCAATGATAATGTTTTCATGATGAATCATGGCTAAATGTAATGTTATAAAACACTCGTACAGAAACTATTCAAAGGTTTCGTTAAATGCAACTTTACTATTAATTCATTAGATAGCAAAATAACTATTATATGCAGAATTAATAAAGAACAATGTCTCGTAAATGTGTTCTAATCCTAGGAATTTGAATTTCTCTCAATTTTGATATCAATATATATATATATTATGTTTTTAGGACTTTTTTGTTAGTGAAGTATTTGTACTTTTTAACAAATTATTTGTTTTTTTCTTAACCCTTTAAATTTTTGTAATATTTGTCATTCATTCTAAA